GATAATGGAACAGCAGGGGAGGAATAGATAGGAAAATAACACAGGAAAAATATTTAGCTTATAATTACATCAAGAATGTTTCTGTAGTCAGTAGCAGACAGCTCCAAATGGAGGCAATGATTCAGAACATTTAGAGGGGTTTTCTAGATTTCCGGTCTATGAAATGTTAAATATTTCAAGAGTTCCCCACTTCATTGCAGTTGGAATATACTTCATTCCTAGGCACAAACAGAATTCAAAACAGTAACCAAGTACATTCTATCATGATAAACATTACCAAGTTCTTAGCAAATGAGGAAAACAAAGACTTAGGATTTTTTCAAGCACAGCAGGCTTCCCACTGGTGTCCTACAGTATTTAGGACCATAAACTACCTAGTAAGCTATTAGGTCACATTTATAACCTATGTGCTTGAGAGAGTGGATGGGATCCTGGTGGACTACTCATTCGCAATTACACAACTAAGTTCTATTTAAGTGCAATTTTGGAGTGCCAAGTTCTATTTTACACTGGTCTTAGACTTCCATGTCACACTGGGATGTCTAGGACAGGGCTAGAAATAGCAAAACTCATCTCACAGCTTCCACTCATTTCTGTCAATCACAAGGGCTTTTTCTTTCCCTGGAGTTTATTTTTCTTCTACAGCTTCATCTCTTGTATATATTAGCTCACAAATAAAAAAGAAAAAGCAGAGCTTAACAAACAACACAACTGATTTTCTCCATTTGGATCTTCATATAGAGCTATTCCAGCCTCCAGAAATAGGATGCCTGCAAATAAGTTTGCTCTTGCAATYGTTTCGTTCCCTGCACTCCTACACTGGCTCTGCAGTACAGCTCGCACTCCCACCACCGTCTCTCACGCTTGCACTGAGGTCATCAGACTTTGCAATACAAACTTAGCTGATCCCAACTGGGAAGAAAGCACATTTCCAGAGAGAAGAGGAAAAGCTCCACATTGGCATGAGAGCAAAAAGGAACTGGTTCTGAAGTAGTTTCACACATAAATCTACCTGCCAAAGGAGGAAAATTTTTGGCTAGCATGTACTCAATTAGCATTTATGTCCCCAGAATGCAGACATCAGGACTGTTATTGATGGTTATTGCCTGAATGAGGAAAGAGATCAGGAAAGCAGCCACTAGGACAACATAATGTCACTGGTGGTTAACATCTGAATAGGGTTACAAGTAAGAAGTCAAGATTGGGCTGGGGAAGGGGCACACCCATCACAGCTCAGCAACAGAGTTAAGCATTTAACAGCACTTCACTGGGAGGATATTATTGTTCATCACTTGCATGCAGTATCTCATCTTCAAATTGTTTATATTGGCAATAATAAAGTGACTTCAAGGAGGTTAAGTGACTTGGCCAAGACCAAAGTGTGAACGGAGGTGGGGGAAAAAAAGTTGGTTTCTTATTGCTTGATTCTCCACTCTAATGAAGTCACTATGCCTTTTGTCCATCATTTACATTTTATCTCCGCTTTCTTTCCTCCTCTCATATCCATATGGACTTAAAATGAGATTCTGAATTTCTCTAGCTCATTAACAAAACCTTGACCCTTATGGTCTGTCACTTTCATAAAATTAAAAGCAGCCCATTGGTTTCCCATTCCCTCTAAGTCTTCCACTGCACAGAATAGACCAGCAAAAGAGAACTTTATATATAAAAGTAGCTTCTTGAATTAGAAGTTTTCTTTATTAGCAAGAGTTTATAACTATTTTGGAACAAAAATAAATATTCCATAAAAATAAGTTTTCTGGCTTGTAATTGTTTTGCTTTTTTTTTGACCTGTGCATCCTATATTTTCCATCTGTTCAAGCCATGATTTCCAGTCCACTGGAGCAAAAGCAATGGTGAAAGCATTCTGCCAGYAGCCCTTGGCCTCATATTATGAGCACAGTTGCCAAGTCTTGCTGCCACTCAGGAGAGGACTTCTAAAAATAAGGGACAGAGTTTCAAAATAAAAATAATTTTCTCATAGCATATCATATTAGAAGGGGGAAATTCTTGCCCACCTTTCTGGTATCAGAGAGGGATCAGCCTTTTTAAGGAACCTGACAGATGCAACATGTTCTATGTTCTGATACTACATGCAATATAGTAGGAGAAACCATATGGACCACTACATGTCATGACACACATCTACTCCAGTTTCTTTAGCWCTGTGCTAAAATTGTTTCTTAATTCTTGCTTTTTTTCCACCTGGAAATCTCCAGRTCAGAGCTCAGTACAGACAGCTGCTCACATCTCCTGTTACTGCTACTGAATTAAGCTCAAGTGGCACTTGGTTTTATTGGATATCTACCATAGATACTGCATTTTGCAAAGTAACATTTTGCTGAAATATACAGTAAATCACACAGAAATTATGCAACCGTCTAGTACACAGAGCACAGAGCTCACAGCATTAGCTGTGATGCTTTGGGATACAATCTGGGATAACATCACAATTCTGGATATAAGTCAGTGGTCACTGGAAGGTGCTGAGCTGCCACAGTCCTTCCAAGGGCTTCTGCTTCATCAGCCGCTGTCCCATGCTGGGGCTAACTCAGGAAAGCTGCTGACAATTTACTCTGCTAAGGCAGGAAGACTGAAATTAAATATCTATATCAGGTAGAGGAAGCATCCACATCCTCCTGGAACTGTGGCCAACACTAGTGACTGGCTACTCCTTTTCCCTTCCTGTTAGTAGTATATAATCACCATTACAAAAGTTCCATGAAATCTTCATGCATTGTAATGCCCTAAGTCCACCTAAATTACCGTCACCCATCAGTCTGCTTTTCTGCTAGCATGATTTCTTTCATTTGCATCACAACTGGTGATGCTGATGTTTACGTTCTTCCCTTGGGAAAAGCATCTGCGCACCCCTGTGGAGAGACACTATCTGTTCTATCATTTCTATATGAAAGCTTAATGGCTCTCATCTCTCTATATGGCAATATCCTTCACATCCACCTCTAAGAYCCAATATGAAGACCCCCTATCTGACAAACCAATAGAATTTAAAGATTTGAGAAACTTAACACAGTTGGGCTGTAGCAGAGGTGTCTGATGGCTTCTAGTGTCAGCTGAATAATCTGATCAGAACTGGTTCAAGGCACTGTTTGAGTTTTCCTCCTTTACCCRTGATAGCTTCAATGGTTTTCAGCTGAAGCAGAAGTTCTGCAGTAGACCTGGGAGCATATGTATGTGTATGCAATTGTAGAAATTAATTTCTATGCTAAGAGTTACTATCTGCAACATTTAATAAAACTACATTTTTGTTCCTTCCTCACACTTGGTTTTTGCTCCACAGCAGAAAGACTCAAACAAGCCACCTGAAAGGGACTTAGCCAGGTATATACACGGTATAAGCTTCGTGGGGGAATGAACACAGAATATGGATAGTATAAATCTGATCAAAAAACAATTAGACAACAAAACCTTTCAWCATGCTGTAGCTAGATGAAAGATAGGCATTCAATGAGGTTTTAGCAACAGATAGTACAACTACTCTGAAATTATAGCAGATTACAGTTTGGTTGAAGTGCAGCTTCTGTCAGAAAAAGCACTTTAACAGAAATGGAAATACTCACAAGCACAACATGACTCCATCAGGCAGTTGCAGAGATTCTACCTACTGTTACCTTTTTAAAACATGAACTGTGATTGCTTTGAAGAAAATGCCTTATTTTTCATTTTAAACTGGTGTTTGATATTTATTTTTASGAATTGTTATATGATATAATAGTTCACAGAATAAAAAGAAAAAATACACCATTTCCTTTTGTTCCAGAAAAGGAATTTTAGAAATAGTCATTAAAAGATGTTTAATTATTCCATTTTTGACTCAGTTTAAAAAAATAATTTTAAAAATTTCAGAAACCTCCAATACATTTGTCACGGCTATTGCTAGCTCTACTTTTAACTGATCACTGTTCACTGAAATATAGGTGCTTTGAAGTCAGATTTAAGACCTTACATTTTCAAAGTAAAAACAACTAAAGGCTTTTACCTTAGAAAAGATAGAAAAGGTTTTTAATATTTATATTTAAATCAATTTTCAAATATAATAGAAATCTCTATGAGTGTCTGAAATACATCTCTTTATAGTCATTAGTATACAGAGAGCTGGAGAGCTGTCTGTGAACATTTACTGTCTAGGAGGAATTCAGATTGCCCGTCTTGAAATTAGATTACTCAGAAAGCAATCTGAAACTTAGGCAGATTGACTCAGAAAATGAAAACCTGATACTGTAAGGAGAGAGGAGACAGCCTGCAAGTGCTCATCTCCTAAAAGATGAAGAAATAACCATCCCTGAGCAAGTAGCAGAGAGTTGTGGTTAGTCAGTCTACACATCACACATTTCTGAAGAAAAAAATCACCTGATTTTATGGCAACACACTTCCTCCACAGAAAACCCACATAAAAACTCCCTAATTCAACACCAGTTTCTACCTCCTAGAAACTTTAGTCAGTGGAATCACATCTGACTTACTGCAGTGTGGGAGATCCCAAGCCCTGCAAGGTTGCGCTTGCAGAGATTTGTGTACCATTGGTGCCATTTAAAAAAAAAAGCCATAAAACATAACTTCAGTCAGGAATTTTGGAATATAAAGTTTTTGACTAGCAGAGGAACAGACTCTTCAGGCTACTTCGTCTCAGGTTAGAGAGGGAGAGGTGCTTACTCCACAGAAAAAAAGTGCTTGTAACACAAAGGCAACTGAGTTCTACCATCTTATTTTTCACCTCGAAATACTTGAGGACAGCTTAAAGAAAAGGGGTCACATCTCAGATGATTCATACAACATTAGAGATACCAGTAAGAAATTAAATGGACCAATCTGTAATGCAGTCTTAATTTCTATAGAATAGWAGGTAATTTATAAATGTATAAACTTATAAATAGTAGATAATTTATAATTTATAAGAGTAGATAATTTATACATGAGAACAGGGCTTCCCATATCCAGAGCAGAAAACAAAAACAAGGTGTCAAAGAGAAGAGCCTTACCTCAATGTGAACTGATCTTCTGTTGAATTTTTAGCAATAGATACAATAAAAGTCAAAATGTCACCTTGCTTGACAGTCTTTGGTGTGTATTGGATGGCAATGTTGTTATCCAACCTCATTTCATATAAGGAAGGGCCAGCATGTGTCTGGTATAGAAAAACACTTCCAATTCTTTGCAAGGGAGGTCCTGACTCATCAATGTCATTGTGTCCCGAGCGGATGCCGTTACTTTTTCTTACATCCTCCTTCACACATTCCCCTCTGTCGTCTCCCGGYTGGATGGTGTAGTACAGCTCCACGGGGCTCCCTTCCGACTGATCCGYGAGTTTCTTCCGTCCAGCAACAACCGTGGGGGGGCTAAACCAGGCGGGCAGCAGCTCCAGCTCGGCCACGCACAAGCCCAGGTCTCCTTTGAGCCTGCAGCTGCCCCGGACCTCCCGCGTCTCTCGGAAGGCGAAGACCCGCAGGCAGGGCAGCCGCTCCGTGGTGCTGTAGTCATCCCAGTCCCTGCCCACGATGTAGAAGAGGATCTGCACTTTGGGCTTGCTCGGGTAGATCTTGTCGCTCATGATGWAGGCTTTCAGTTTCCAGTTGAAGGAGAACTTGTTAGTAGATGCAAAGGGATTTGAAGACAACATTAAGTCCTGGGGCACTACTTGCTCAATGGAAAAGGGTCCGTAGCTGGCATTTAACACAGGTGGCCTCTTAGATTTGTAGATCAGAAAGGATTCCACTCGGGACTGCAAGCTGGAATTCCTCATAATATCCTGATTGGCCTCCTTGAGAAAGAAGGAAATATCCGCATTGTGGATAYGATAGCTCACAGGCAAGTAAGTTGGCAGTAAAGAAAATCTTTGTATGCTCTCCAGGATCCCACGACTCTCAGTCACTGTTAAGAATAGAGAATTCAGATCAAATGTAAAAAGTCAATATTAGATTTCAGTCAGATCCCTCATCACAGTAAAGATGACAGATCTCATAGAAACCCTAAGAAGATGCAAAATTATTAGTACAAGTGACCTGACTTCAGGTTTCACTGAAGTATCTTTGGTTAGTTTCCTAAGAGCCTGTATTAAACTTTAAACAATTAGACAGATAGTGTCATCAAATCTGTCACAAGCAGATGACCAATTCTGATCTCCTAAGACTTTCAGATACTGTTTATAAGCAGGCATGAATATTACTCTTAATATTACCAGCTAAAAGTTTTATAAAGATGATTTTTTAAAAAAAACACAATTCACCAGCTTCAATACTTAAGTGTCAAAAGGTATTAAAACAATAAGTTTTCTCTATGTTTGCCTGTGCAGTTTCAATCTCAGTTCAGATTAGATTCCTTAGAATTTTTTACAATACTGAGAAACTTATTGAGGAAAAACAAACAAGACAAACAAACAAACACAAAGCAACTTGAGCTTCCTTTAAATTCACGTGACTTGCAAAGCTGCTGTTTTATAGAGCAGCTGAGGATTCACAGTAAAACCTGAAGAGTTGGYACCACTTGTGTGTGATGCTTTTCAGTAGCCCATATGAAGCCTTTATTTACCTCAAGCTCCTTATTGACTCATGCAATGATATCATCTCCCTGCATTAATGGTAGGGTTGATAGCAGTGCAGGTGATATTAGTAGAAATAAGAATCATCACCCACCACTGCAGATGCAGCCTGTGTTTAACACAGTGTTTAACACAGTTAGCTTGGATAACCCCAGGTTATGCTAAGTTCTGCATGGCAGCTCAATAAAGGCTGGCTTCTGCACATACAGCCATGCCAAAGGCCACATCTTCAATTGCAACATAGATTTATTACAGGAGAACAAAGTTGCCCAGCYGGCATCTGCTCCACAAAACCACTGCACAGATAACATTACAAAAGAAATCAGATGGTTACAGCAAGCTGCACCTACACAGAAAACCAAAGGAATGATTTCACATCAAATGCTGCTCATGGAGCGCTTATATTTCATTTCAGTCTTATTTTCAGGGCTGTCAAGCAGACTCGAAGCTGTTTCCTACACGAAGTTGAATTTCACTTTAGCAGTTAGCCCAGCAGCTATGCACACAAAGGCTCCTTCGCACCATACCAGTACCAGAAGATTGAGTTTCAAGAAAAGCTTTATTTCCATCCTATTTCACCTCTTCCAGGAAGAATTTTTCCCCATAATATTAGGGCTCACACTACTCTTGTTGCCTGAGCCTACATTAGTACAACTGTGTTAGCTGCATTTTACTGGTACTGCACAACTCTGAACACTCAGCCAAAAATGTTCTTTATAAGAAAAACTCTTACTGCCAAATTTCTTCCAACTGTGCTGTTGAGCAATTGTAGTAGAGGGTCRTGGATTCTGGGTGGCAAGGGACCACACACTCAATCTCAGGTAGGGTATCACTAGATATTTGTATTGCACAGAAAATCAAGGACTTCCAGGGGTTGGAGAAAAATGAGAAAACAAGTAAAATGAGCTACAAAGTGCCATAGTGGCTAGCCCAAGTGTGGTAACATATCTCAATCACCAAGGAGAAGAGAGCACGAGCATTGATGGCAGGAGGCAGCCTCCTGGGGCCCCACTCAGTAGGGGTCTTGGGGTRTCTCTGATGTTGAGGGGGCTCCTTCTCCCCCAGTCATCACCATCTGCATCTCACCACTATTATAGGCTGTAACTCAACAAGTCTACATGGCAGCAATTGCACTWTTTTTGTTTTGGTTCCCCCCACCCTGATGAAAAAAGGGAGCTTGCTTGGCCAGAGCTGCTTCTGTATTTCAAATGTCAAGTTTTCTAATCCATTCTTTTTACATCYATCCACTGCAGACACGATGACATTGCACATTGCTCAACTGGTTTTGTCCCACCAAGCGGGCATGAGACAAGGACTCGTGACACTCCATCGATCAMTCACTCACATCTGGTGCAGCAATTCCTTCAGGCAGGCTATTGCAGTAAGGAATAACTTAGCTCTCCATCCTTTCTAGGAACCACCAGTCCCAAAGATTAAAGACACACACTGTTAAACAACAATATCAAATGTAAACACTATATGGTATTTCCTACTTGAACATCTGACCTTCCTACCTAGAGGCACCCAAACTATGCAATAAATTGCATATTTTTCCATAGCAAGTCCAAATCCTCATACTTAATTCAGAAGTGTGACAAAAGGTTATCACGGATGACACTCAATGCAAATCCCACTTCCCAAGCTGTACTGCACAAATGCTATATTAGTTCTTATTTTATTTCACATCTGACCTAAATGTTTTCTGTCTATATAAGTATTAAGGTTGCCTGAGCTGGTAATAGTTGCTCCTAACTACCCAAACCAGCGCAATGCAAGCACTGCAATCTCCACACAAGGCTAGAATGGGCTTGGTATCTTCAAAACCTTTTGAAAGGTGTTAGTTACTAAAATCTAACTAGAAACTCACCAGAAACCGCCTGGAAAATGCTTCTCGGCTGCAATTGTTGACCTCCCCATGGGTAGCATGACCTGCCAGAGGCATCGCACAGGTCACACGGTGCCTCTGCAGCAGGCCAGGCCATGCAGAAGATCCCACTGTGCCACCAACTCTGCCTGACCTTGCCTGAGTTACTTTGTTCATGTTGGTGTCCAGGTCCAACAAATATGGGTATTACTACTTATTTCTCCTCACTCTTTGCCTGTGTATATTGTAAATGCGCCAGAGAGCCTGCAGCTTTATATATATATATTTTCATATATATATATTTTTCCAAGTATCACCTACAGAAACAGAGCTGTGGTCTCAGTCTCCAAACACTGAAGCAATGCAAAATAAACTGCAGGCCAGGAATAATTTGCTACACAAAAAGGGAAAATGAGCTTGCTATAAGGAGCAAACATATAGGGACTTGAGCTGCAAGACTGAAGACAAATCTCAGGCAGAGAAAGGAGCCGGCAAGAGGAGAATTTTGCAGTTTTTGAAAACTTTCTCTCCACAGTCCTGACAAACTAGAAATTCTTATCCCTCCAGTAAACTGTTAAAATAAAGATTAAATTTAAAAAGTTGAATTAATGCTGAGTCTTCATCATCACCTGGAAGTAGAAATAAATTGCATCCAAAGAATCAGGAAATGGACCATCATCATCATCATCACATGAGWTGCTGTAAGGAAAAGCAGTGACAGAGGCTGGAGTGATGCCCATGATCCTGCAGTAGTCCCTGGAGGAAGAACAGCCAGCTAAAGGGCAGGAGCACTAGATCTTGTTTAATTTTAGAGGCAGTCACACCCGAGGGTTTTCCTGCTTATTTRCTCAAAGTAAGTTGCAAGGATTCTTGAGAGGCAAAACAAAAACACATCCCTTTTTGCTCCAGTTTTGGTTCTTCTTGCATTCATCCACCTCCCTCTCTCCAGATAATCATTGGGAGCAAACGAAGATTTTACAGATTCTTTTCTAGAGAATCCCCCAGCAAAGCTCTCTAACYGGCCTTGCTAGTGCTGCTTTTGAGGGCTGCAGGGATGCATCTCTCCTATGCAGCCCCAAGGCGCAGTCTGTTCTGCTCTTGTACTCCTCAGATCACCCAGCCTGTATCGTCATGCCTCCATCTAATGTCCCATTTATAAATTCCACACTCATTTTGTCCTCCTCCCAACAGCTTGGCAGAGCACCATTAAACACAGTGAGACAGCAAGGAGGCGACTTGGAGAGAGGAAAAAGCTCAGGGTATTCAATTTTTTATTTCCCTTATTTTGACTGCAGCTCGCTCCCTTGCATTCCACAGAGAGAAGTACATTATTTTTATATTAAAACTAACAGAGTGTTTCACCTCATCATTTTTTAATCAGTTATTTTAGTGCTTAATTATCTAAAGGATTAAAACTCTTCCTTCTGTATTCCCCATCTCCACAGGACAATGCTTCCTCAGAGTTTGTAAATACATGATTCCTTGGAATAGTAGAASAACATGAAACAAAGAAGGGAAGGTGAGCTGCTTATTTTTAATAAAATAACCATAGAAAAAGGAAGGGGAGGATGACTTGATACAGCAGGGTCCATTACGTCTTAAACTGTTGGGCAATGGCAAATTGGTCTGCTCAGTGTCATGCTTCTCCCTACCAGCAAGCTGTTGATGTGCCCTGAATATGAATTGGCTTATGCTAGAAGCTGACAGCAGCTTTCCAAACAGCCAAAGGCCAAAAATTCAAACAGTTTTGTACTTTATCTGGGGAGAGTTATAATCAGTACAAACAGGGAAGAAAAAAAGAGAAAACTACACTGAGCTCTGCAGTACCATCTGGATTTTGACCGTGAAAGTTTATTAAGGATTCTGAAGGATAGGAAATCAAAACAACAACAAAGAACAGCATCCTTAATTGTAACCATGACTATTTTTTGTACAAATTATCCATGTTTTTACAAAGCAAAAAATGCCAGAGATTTTGAATTTTTTAGCTACCAAGACAACATAAGGGGAGTATTTAAGATTCAGTCATTGCATTTACCCTAAAATTTACATCAAATCCATAACATGTCTCAACCAAAATTCTGCAGGAATAACCCCCCTGAACAAATAGCCACCACCTAACGAATCTCTCAGCTTAAATAATGTCAAAGTGCGATCAAGGAAATAGCATCAAGAGAAATAAAAATATATGGCTGAATTTGGGAACTGCAACTCCTCTTTGCTGCATCCCTGTATCTCACAGCTCGTCTGCACAGGGAGCCTGGCAAGGTAATARCCAAGTGCAAACAGGTAGCACATTAGCCAGTCTTACAAGTTCATTGCTTAATGTCAGTGTGCTACACTTTGTGGCCAGCACCAGATGGAAACAAACTCCAAATCCAGTCTGCCATATTCCAATGGATTCTTATCAGATGATATAGATTTAGGGTGATATAGATGAGATGATATTGGAGATCCACATGACATTCA